TTTTTTTTTTTTGTCTATTCAATGTAGGCAGCTCTTTGCTATATGTACATCTCTGTGACATAACACGGTCATTTCGATTGTTACATGTCTCAAGCAGCAAAAAAAAAAAAACAAGCCATAAAAATAAAATATGTCATTTCCTAAAAAGAGTGTAGTGTCTTCTTACGGTTAATAATAAAACAAGAATTAATCAATGGTACAATATGCAATATTAAGCATAAAAAACATTTGTAAGATATCAATATATACACTATTAAATAATTAATTAATAAATATAACATTACTTGCATCAACAGACCCCTCTATAAAAAGCTTGAATATTACATCGTGTTAAGAATATAACTCCTCAACAAAGTACTTGTGGGTTGCAAGAACTCACACTGAATTCCCCCAATGTGCGCGTTCAACTTTCTGTTCACTAGGGGGCAGGTAATACACTAATATGTTTGGGGCATTTGAGGCCAACGTTTGGTAGTACGCTTTGCTCCTCCGTGCCGTGTGGTGTCGCTGTGACTATTTTGAAGACCGCCCTTGGCAGTTGAAAATCCCGGAGAGCTGGTCCACGCTCGTCATTTAGTTTGGTAGTAGTAGTTGGTTGATCTCGTGGTCGAGTCTTTCTTAAGTGACAGCAGTTAACATCAAAATGGACGGTTTAGACGAAGGATCGATGGCCCCACAGACCTTCCTTTATGGTGAGAGAACACGCTTTGTGTGTGTATCCGTGTGCATCTGTCGGTTGGAGGTTTTTACATAGTCTTGTTTTCATTACTCATTCCGCGTATTGCGGAAAAATTAAACCAGATATATGTATCTTCAGCCGGTTGTCCTAAAATTATATGTGAAGTTACTGCTTTTATAGCAAAGAATGTGAAGTGTTCTTAGTCCTTTATATGCAGCATGAGGCTAACGTGCGTCAGTCCCGGTGAACAACGCGGTCATACACGTGTTTGACTACCAAAATGGCGCCGCCTCTATTTGAGCAGCATTCATGCTGTTAAACGTTAAAATTGATTTCAGTGAGCATAATTATTCAATAATGAGGTGTATTCACTGCACGGCTAAGGACAGAGTGGAATTTAAACGTGGTTCCGCTGCTTTGTTAGAAGCGTTTACGTGAATAAGCTAGCGTGTACAACTTTACCCTGAATTAGCCAATGTGATTGTAATGTCTTACTTTATGTTTCTCTGGTTGTCTCGAAATTATAAGGAACATATATTGTAAAAATATAACACATCCAATATTGCTCTGACCTAGTTAGCAGACATTTACGTTACAAGTTTAACAGACAGTTACGGACCGTTACATTGAATTTATTAGCCTGCCCTGCGTTGAAATAAAAGGCCGAAGAAAAGTTTTATTCCAACACAACAAATATGTATATATTTTTTATTATCACCATTATTTGAGATGCCAGTGCGTTATATTTGATTTCATGTAGAAACTAGGTCACTTCAAGGCTACTAATAAACATCGCTTAGAACCCATCAACCTTTTAAAGAAATAATTTAGGTTATTAAACTAGAATAAAATTGTAACAACCGACATGTTCCCTTTTTATTTCGTATGAATTGAATAATTTCAATGCCATGCGGCTAAAATTCGTCTCAGATTTTTTCTTGTATGACTCCCTCTTGTGTACATAAAATTATTGCAACGTGACCTGCCGGCTCTACATTACCTGGCTTGAACTCAGGGTTGATGGTGTTTGTAACTTGCACATTACAATTATTATTCGTTTTTAATAGAAATTGTAATTTTTTTTTTTTTTTGACAGGCTGTGTGCTGGAGGCTGGGAAAGAAGTAACTTTCAATCCCACGGATGATGACTTTGAGCATCAGCTTGATCTCAGAATGGTAAGTAACCCGGCACCACAGCAGGATTGGCTTTAGGCTGAACGATGCAGTAGGTCCCTGCAGCCATTGATATATATATATATCATACGGAAGAGGCTTAATGTTCAACTTGTCTGCAGGCTTGTGTGGACACCACCACAAAAGATGAACTTCACACGGTGGAGGTGGAAGGCCAAGACGTGGAAGGCGAGAAAGTCAAGGCAGTCCTCGTGTCACTCAAGCCCTCTACTCTGCCCAGTGTAAGTTGTGTACCTCTATTTAAAATATCCTCTTGGTGTGATGACAGAATTAACTTGTGAACTCGAGGTATGGCTTTCTCTGATGAGGTCTCTCGTTGCAGGTTTGTCTCGGTGGTTTCACAATCACACCTCCAGCAGTTTTCCGTCTAAAGGCCGGTTCTGGTCCCATCCACATTAGTGGACAACATCTCGTCAGTGAGTTAAAAAAAAAATGCAAACGCATCATGTGCTATATGTGCTCCTAGTTTGGGAGGTACTACTTTAAAAAAATATATGTATATTTGATGTGGTTCTTGTTCCCGGATGTGATTAAAATATAATGGTGACAGGTTCTTTGGCTGATGTTTCTAACCAATGAAGGAATGCAGCATAACAATTAAAATGTTAATTTTAAGTGATGGACGCTGATCAGTCTTTTGATGAAGATGATGATGACGATGAGGAAGAGGAGATGGAAGATGTGAAACCATCCAAGAAAAGACCTGCGTCCTCCCCTGCACTCAAGTCTCAGGTTGGTTTTCAAATCCTGTGTGTTTAGTCCTACCTTTCAGTTTCTTTGGAGATATTGTGAAAATTGTGGCAGGTTTTTTTATTAAGACATGTAGGAAAAAAGAACAGTTATTACTTTTTCGAAAAAAAATAAAAAGGAAAGGAATTTTGGTCTTTTAAATTTTAGTAATACATTATAACCTATTCTTGTTCTATCACTCCCTAAATGATATTTCACTTATTCTTAGTCTTTTGACATTTTATAAACGCTGTCCAAAGGTTTTCTCCTTATTCCGAAGGAGTTTTAAAAAAAATTCAAATAAAATAAAGAAATAATTTTAGTTACGTCATGGAAGAAAATATTGTCATAATGAACCCATTTAATAGCACATTTCTCTGTTCCACATCACTGATGCACACTTGAGTGTGCCCAGTAGGTGGCAGTAATGCATTTAAAGTGCGTTTAAACAGGATGTTTTCAGTTTTTGATAAAGTAGAGTGATGGATGCAGCAGTTATTACACATCACTTATGTTTACAAATAGATTCATCAAAAATAAATTTACATTTGTTAATTTTTTTAACTTTATGATTTTATGACAAGGTCTATAAGTATATGGGGTATTTTTATTCAGGTAACGTCAGTTACTTATTAAAGGCCAGCCATTTAGAATTGTACGTTTAGTCTGATTTGATGTCAATTCAAGATTTTTTTTTTTTTTTTTCCCCAGGGATGATGAAGATGACGAAGATGAGGATTCTCCTGTTAAGGTTTTTTTATTATTATTTATTTAGTCCATTTTTTCATTCAGTCACTCTGAATTCCGTGTAACTGACACTGCCCCTTTGGTAACTCACTCATTTTTACTTTGATTTTTATGTTTCCATGCGTGCAGACCAAGCCAGCAGCATCTAAAAAAGCAGCTCCCGTCCAAAATGGCAAAGGTTCAAAACCTGGCACGCCAGTTGCGAAGCAGGTACTCTTTCTTTTACGACGTTGTCCAGTGAATATATACTGTATGCCCTTGATGTAGTTGTCAAGATCATAAGAGATCAGTGTTGCGTGTCTTTGTATGCCTATAAATTGGACATTGTAAAATTGAAAATGAGTTCATTTTTGTCTCCTGATCGGAAAAGGCAGGAAAAGGAAAGGACAGGAAGTCACCCAAAAGCCCACCAGTAATCCTAACTCTTCCTGAGATTAAAACCAAGATAATGGAGGCAGTGAAAAAGGTTGGTGGCTACAATGTATGAACAATGATTTTTTTTTGTTGTTGTTGTTGTCGTCGTATAATTTATTGCATTTTCTTTTATTCCTACATAGGGGGTAACATTACCAAAAATCCAGCCAAAGTTTGAGAACTTTGTGAAGCACGGTTATAGAGTGTCGGATGCAAAGGTATTGTTTCACATTTTGCACTTGAACATTATCTTTTGACATTGTATCAGTGCTCATTGGTTTTAAATAAAGACCGATTTTATGTATGCTGTATGTGTAGTTAGCCAGCAGAGGGCACACATCATCCAAAAGATGATAAAATGACGTGTGTTTTTTTTTTTTTTTTTTTTTTTTAAATGACGTGGCAAAACCTAAAGTCCTTTTTTGTTTTTCTCCTCAGGATGTTGCTGAGCTGTGGCAGTGGAGACAGACCATGAAGGAGGCAAAATAACCGTCCCGCTAGCATAAATATTTTTTATTATATTTTATGATCTTTTGTAATTACCACCTTGCAAACCTCATAAATCCAAACTCGGCTCCATCGTCCATCGCGGACTGTCAGTCCAATTTCGCAGCTTCCTCAGATTTTGAGTTCTGAATAGGTAGCTGTGTCGAATTTCTGAGACTAAACTGATAAGTCCTCGCCTCATTAAAATTCGCAGAAAATTTCAAACTTTGTAACTAACACTTTATAAAGAGAAAAACATTTGCAGCAACAAGGTTTAGGAACAAAATATTCATTAATTGACAAAGTCCAATTAGCTTAGCAGAGAACCTGCTTTAAATCTAGTCACAAGCCTGTCGGCCAAGGCTTACGTCCACACCATGTTTAGTGTATACTACAATACACACAATGGGGAAAAATGCTGCAAGTTTAAGAAAGCTGTGAATGTTTGTTCCAAGATATACCAACTACTTCTGCATACGTGTTCAAGGTTAACCCTTCGCGTTGAGATGTTGAAACTTTCCTAATGAAGGGTTCCGTTGCATGTATTGTCCCAAGAAATACTTGTTCATGGTCATTTTCGTTTCTTTTTCTTTTTTTAATTCAATCTATCATGATGTTTAAATACAAATGTGGCTCTGCTAAAACAAATCATTCCATATTTGTGAGACACTTGAGTTTAATTTGAGTTTGGTTTAAATAAAGAAAAATAATAAATACTGATCATTGTAGTTGGTTGTGGTTGACACATTCATTACGGGCAAAGATGTCAATGTTTTCAACTAATATGATACGAAAGGAAGTGACGTAAGGGTTACGACTTAACTTTATCTTGAGGTCCATTTGGAGGACAAGGTATTTTGCCTATTCTATATGCATTTATTTGTTTAAAAAAAAATATTTTGCCCTCCAATTTCTTTTTGTACAGAAAATGTACCGAAATTGCAGAATATACCACCAAACACCACAAGGGGGCGACATAATCCAAGGAATTTTTAGTTTGTTGGCCATTATTTGTTTACTGACTGGAAGATGGCTTCCAGTCACTGAATGTTGCACAATGAATATCTGGCCAATATCTAGTATATATATACGTTAGCATTAACTATGACAACTTTATTCATTTGTGGTTTTCCCTTCCCACATCTGATGTGACTGAAGAATGTATTTACTAGTTTTTGGTGGCAGATTTAACACCCTATAGCAGCTCTGTCTCCTTTCTGTGGTCATTCCCTATGATAATCCCCCAATATTTTATGTTCCATTGTCTCATACCTCCTCTTCTGTTTGACCACAATGCTAGAGTCTCTAGGCCAGGGGTTGGGAACCTATGACTCGTGAGCCAGATATTTTGATGACTGCATCTGGCTCTCGGATAAATCTAAGCGAACACAATAAGTTATAAATAATTTCGCTATATATTCAAGTAAAACATTATAGAGATCAGTGTTAAAATAATCTTAAAAAAATATTTGTGGTGGCAGCGTACTCTCTTTGCATTGTTAAATAATTGAGGTAAAATCATCAGCTGGGTATCTCATCTTTTATTTCTGGCATAAAAAATGAAAACAAAGTCAGTCCACTTTGTAGCAACACACATATCACGTGCTGAAAATATAAAAAAAAGTTAATGATAAAATTAAAGTAAATAAATGGACCTCCTAATGTGCAGCTACCATAAGGACAGCAGAGCCGACTGCTACTCCCTGGGGTGCACAACTCTAATCCCCAGGGGTGTTGCATTTAATGACCATACGATAAGTTAGGTTTTTTTTTAAGTGGTGTGTAATGAACTGTTTTTTATGGCTCTCATGGAAATACATTTTAAAATATGTGGCTCTCTGCTAAAAAGGTTCCCAGCCCCTGCCCAAGGATGTTTTTCTGCCGTCAGTTACATGGATTGATGAGAAATGCAATACACTTTTCATTCAGTCTTTAAAGTCATTGATTACATTTTTTTTTATTTTATGTTATGTACAACATTTATTAAATCACGTTAAAAAATAAAAACTGACGCTAGTGCAGCACCAGGTGACGTAAATACAAAACATAATCAGAAGCCAAGCGCATTTACAGACACAATCATCAGCGCACACACAGCAAAACCAAAAACTCTTGGCAATATAGAAGTAACTGTTTAGTAAGTCAGCATTATGTATAAAATCAGATTTGGTATGTGAACGAACTGACAAATGTTGTGAATAATTTGTTCATATAAATAGGGAACAAACAAGAAAAGATTTACAATCAGGTGATGTGACTCCACTTGTTGCAGCCACGGACAGAAAGTTGTCAAATGACGTCAAATTACAATTTTTAGTTATCTCTTAACCTCACACACGCATTTGGTTACTAATTGTCATTCTTCAAGTTTCCTAATCTCAAGGCGCAACAAGATTTGGTTGTGAAGGTGATGACTCGTGTTGTATTTGAGTGCTTTACAAGTGTCAACCAAGTGGGTTGTACACCACTCTCCAGTTCCAGTCAAGGCCAGTAGCACAGTTGTACGAGTAAACTGCTAATAATTAAAACTTTAATGCGTACGTTAAAATAATAAAAACGTTACAGTAACATCACAGGGTAGCTCTGAACAAACTAAAATACAAAAAAAAAAGCCTCCTGAAATAAATCTCTTCAACATTTCGATCTCAGCTAGGCGAGCGTGAATGTCAAAGTGTTCGTCAGCCCTCTAGTGTTGGTTCCTGTTCCTGTTCCTGTTCTACTCAAACGTACTCCTTGCTGCTAGGTGGCCTGGAGATGGGATACTTTGGCGTGGCCGCCTTTCCTCCTGGGCACGAAGCAGCGAGCATCCCGCCTCCCACTAAAGCCAGGAAGGCTCCAGCCCAGGCGATGAAGATGGCAGACCCAAACTCGTACCTTGACAAACAGATTAACAATAATTAACAACAATTCAAGAGGAAAAGCCTGATTACAGCAAGTCATTCCTGATACCTCCGCCGATATATGTAGTTTAGGAGCAAAATAAATTAAACTTATTGAAAGTTTTTTTTTTTTTTTAACTATTCAGATCTCATAAAACCTACAAGTGCATTTCTCAGCATTCATATTCAGATCTCATAAAACCTACAAGTGGTAGACCCATTCAAAATGCATTTCTCAGCATTCGTGTACAATGACAGTTTGGGACCAAGTATGGCTGATCTAAGACAACTCTACCCCAAAAGGAATCCATAAACATTAGGACCGTGTTAAGCAACTTTTCAAATAATGATGCTTGGGTTATGTCTGGTCTGCAGTCTGTCACAATACTTTACCATATTTCAATAAGCAAGACTAAAATTCAAAAATATTCTTGTGTTTCTTTTTGATTTTCCTCAAATACTAATAGGAAAAGTGCATTTGAGGATTTGAAGGAAACATTGATACTGTATTTCTCTAGATCATCAAACGTGCGCATAACTTGATAAACACACTGGAAACATTGTCAGGGTCTTACTTGGTGTTGACAGGAGTAAAAGGGTTGTAGAAGGCCTGGACGATGTCGTGGGTGTACCAAGCGCAGGCAACGATGGCAGACAGAGCTGTAGGAGCACAGAATTAAAATACTGTTACAAATCCAGAGCTGGACTGAAACTGGCTTGAAAGACCAAAAACAAGCGTCTTACCTCCAACTAGGATGATGATGCCACCAGTCATAGCAATTCGGGACTTGCGCTGCTTGTCATCTCCGCCGCAGTTGGTGCACTTCATTCCCATGCAGGCTGCGCCCAGGCCAGCCACCGTTACAATGATACTGACAATCATGAGGGCGCGGGTTGCCTGGAGAGCACCTGGATAGAGAGATAGGATTTGTCAAATACAATTAAAAAAATTAAAAAAAATACACACATCAGTTTAATGTTATTTTACTGATAATAAAAAAGGACCAACTTTGGTTATTTTACTGATAATAAAAAAGGACCGACTTAAATAAATGGAATCTTATTAAACCACCATTTATTACATATTGTTTATTTTACTTTTGCTCTGTTTCTTTTACACTATTTCGCCGCCACTTCCTAGAACAACATTTTACTATAAAGCGGCTCTAAGCAGAAGAAACTGTGTGCGGAAGGGGAGGAGTGGAATCGCGGCAGGTGGGGGTGGGGTTGTGACTATGTGGGCTTGTATGCAAGTTTGAAAACAGGTCTGACTAGGTTTCAGGTTTCAATTATGTGGAAGACACTCCCAACTTCAGTCCACCTCTCACACGGCAGGTGGACATTTTAGAAATCCGTGCATTGCTAGAATGCGAGGAATGCCTAATTAGACTTTAACAGTATTTGTTTTCTCTTTCTTTTTAAAGGATTGTGTCTGTGTTAAAAACATCAAGTTTGTATGAGACAACTCTGCTATAGGTGGATTTGAAAAACAAGTAATCTGTGCACTGACGTGTACGCGACAGTTGGAAAAAAAAAAAAAAAAAGGAAAAACGGTCAATCTGCCACTGACCCAGTTACCTACTATGGTGTTGTAATTTCAGACAGAAAGATTAAAGTCATAAAGATGACAACAGAAAGACAGCTTTGACAGCTAGATTTTTTTTTCCTCCACAACTCTAGATATTGGACTCACTTGCCAAAGTTTCAATGAAGATCGGACGCCAGTCCTTGTTAGATCTGACCTTTAGTGCCCATTGTAAGCAGGATGACTGTTTGACATGCTACATTAACTTCCTATTTTCACACAGATGTCATTTTACATCAAAGTATCCAGTAGTTTGGCTGGTTTTAAAGTAAATAAGAATTAAAAATGTATTTGTATTTTGTGCCTTACTTTGGAATATTTTGTACATACGTTGCTAAGTTTTCAGTTGGCAGCGGGGGAAAAAAATACTGACATAAATATATATATATTAGTAGTAATTTGTCTATTCCCATGGCATACAGGCTCAAAGAGAACTGGTTGTTAGGCATGTTGTCTAAACAGTACACACAAATACAGGTCTAGTCTCAGAATACAGGTGTTGTCCACAAGAGGCGACAGCAGTCATTGCTGATGCACACAAAATAAATGAACAACAATTGGGAAATACAATTCTGAAGAATTGGTGAATAGAAATGCCTTAATACCGCCCCCCACCCATGGTGAGTGGATAGGCCTTCTCCACACCAGTTTAAACACAGCTTTATTTGAAGTCTGCGTGTGAAAAAAGGGAAGTTAATGTGTGACAAAACCGGTTGGCCCAAGTCACAGTAATCTTGTAACTGAACACAAAGGCCTAAGGGAAGGGAGGGGGGGTTGTGTCACTATGAGGTCTGCAACGGTTTTGTTTAATAATAAATATTAAAACGGTACGAATATGAAAACACACAAACAAAAACCACCATAACTTTTTTTAAAAAAGTTCGTCATTAAGTGTTTGTTCCACTTACTGTTCAGCTGAAGGATGGAGTCATAGACCTTGCACTGGATTTGGCCTGTGCTTTGAAAGGCACAGGACATCCACAGTCCCTCGTACATGGCCACCGCTGTAATAATGTTGTCCCCGACATACGCAGACATTTTCCACTGCGGCATAATTGTACCAACTATCAATCCAATGACGCCCAAAAGCGTCAGGGCGAAGCCCAGTATCTGCATACCCGAGTTGGCCATCTTGTCTTCTCTCCTCTTCACTACCTGAAACGATGTCTGCTAATTGCCGACGTCCACCTGCTCTCAAGGCACGAACGATAAACTTCGGTTCTTCTGACAAAACGTATCTGTCGTGTAATTCCTGGGCGTTTTATCAACAAATCGTAAGTAGATTGTAATATATAGTGTAAGCGCTTCTCTCCAGGTTCCCAACGCACCTGTTCCTCGACCGCACCTTGAATACGGAGAAAAGAGCGGGGACGAGCTTTTTAAGGCGGTTTCTGTTACAGGTGGGTGGGCGGGGACGCGCACGCAGTTTCGGCGGTGGCGGCGTACACCTGAGGTTTCATGACGTCAGTCTTTCCGGAAACTGAACAGCACAGACAGAGCAGCAGTTGTAAAGAGAAAACAGAAGTTTCACAGCAGCATGTGTAAGGCAAACTGCTCAAACTTTTTAAGTATGCGCGGTTGAACCCGTGAACCCGTTTGAATTGCATTTACAAAATTCGAAAAACGTATTGTTTAACTCCTATTCTGACATGCAAATAAATGTGAACAACCCGTACATGTACATAGACAGATGTTTATACTTTGGCATATTGAAACCCACACCGAGACTGATGACTCACATGACAACAAGCCCCATCAACAAGTCCCAGCTCAAATGACCTGCTCACAAACTTGAACCAAAACATTCTAAATTAATTCATTTGTAAATAATATACAGACCTTTAAGTAATTGTGTTACATAAAAAAGTTACTACTTCAATCATGTGTCTGTACTTTATACTATACTATAATATACTATATACTTACATGCAGCGAAATTTCGGCATTACAGAACCTTTGAATCAATAAAAAATAATAAAAAAAACTTGTTTTAAAGTGAGTTCAATAATGAACACGTCATTATGCTTTATAGTAGCAGTTCCTTTGTCCAGATTTAAAGGTATTTTATTTTGAGTTTCCACTTGTACCATAAACTGTATGATGTTCATATACCCGACTACAGTGTAGAATGTCTCATTATCATTAGGAATACTACTACTTCAATACCTGAGAAGATTGAAAATAGAGTGCTTGTCATTGTAACAGAAAACATTATAAGAACGACATACAGCATAACATTTCACTGGGTGAAATGCCTAATGAAGATTTAATGGTCTACTTGGGTAATTTTGTGGCAAATGATTTGCCTTTTTTCTTAATTTTGGACTTCTGGTACTTTATACTACTATGTCCAACTAGAGTCATCCTTACTGAAGTGAAAAACCTAAATCTTCCAAGACCTTGTTTTTTCAGTAATAATTCGTATACTGTTTGCATTTAACTCATCAGTGTGAAGCATAGAAACCATAAAAACACAGGGCAATCATATATGTTTGTTCATACCCTCCAAAGTCCAGTTGAATGTCAATACTAGAACCAGTGTTAACCACTGAAACAAACGTTTAATTGTCATCACCCTGAAAAAGAAGTGGTTTAAACTTTTGTTTAAACAACTTCCCTCTTCTGAAAATGAGGATCTCTGCTCACACAAAATTTAAAAACAGGACAAAACCTAAATTATTTGAGTATTTTATGGGGGACAAGATAGATAGATGGGGAATGGTGAAATTATGGTAAACAATACCATAAGAAGAATGTTTTTTTCTGAATAACAGTGCAGGTTTATTTACAGTGCACAAACATGCTAAGAATGCAAACAAATGACACAAGACAAAGGAAACGAACAAAACAAAACAAAAAAACATGCAAACAAATGACACAAGACAAAGGAGACGAACAAAACAAAACAAAAAAAACTCACTAATCACACATGCAGCCTAACCTCAAGCTGCTGCAACATAGTACTTTCAATTCTGTCTGTTACCATCTCATCACCAAGTTCACCCTTTCAATGCCACCCCAGTAACTGGATAAATGGTTGATCTTATTATGACAGGGTTGACAAAGGAGTTTTGCAAAATATAATGGGAATATCAGAAATATATACATGATTTCCCATAACAAAAACACATAACCAAAAACTACACCTATGTCCACACATCTATAATTATGACAGGGCACCCTAAACGTTTGAACTGTGATATCAACGGATAAACAGATAAACCACCATTCCCAGGAAATCCCTATACCAAGATGGAACACAAAAGCAGAGCTCTCCCATGGTTGCTGCTTCTACTGGGACACTTTATGCTACCGGACTAGAAAGTGCAACCGTGCGACGGTGAGTACGTGTGTGCTAACTTTCTGCTGCAACAGTGGGTATCGCGCTGTCCGATATGATGTTGAAATAAATTGATTTTGTGGGTAATTTACTATGTTGTGGTTGCTTGTGTGCGCTTGTTTATTTTTTAAGCGGTGCAGCGTGTGGTTATGTCCGCTGTGCATTATGGGTAGTGTAGTCCGTGTAAGTTAGGCGCTATTGTATTGTGTGAATGTGTATTTGGTTGTGACAAGTGTATACTTGAGTTAAATAAATAACAATAATAAATAAACACCCATGCTATTTTCGATTAACATTTGAAAAGAAGGGGCAGTAGCGTCACGCAGCAGTTTGAGATTCAGTTTAATCTACTGACCATTGTTTCACAGTTCAAATTAAAATGGGTGCTTGAAACGCTTAAAAAAACAAACAAACAACGGCAATTTTACTTACAAGAACTTTAACAGAAAATTTAAAAAAAAACATACAATAATGATATTAACAGGTAAACATTGTACAAAAAACAAACTGAAAGTATCACTGTGGTTGTCCTTGTGCATATGTGTGTTTGTTAGGGTGTGTACATGACTGTGTGAACCATTTGATAGGCGGTGATGTAAAACGTCCTATTCATTCAACTGAGGAAGTGCAGACGGACAGCGTCATTTTTTATTCGAGGTGTGCTGTAATCACATGACAAAGATTTAGAAAGCCCCAGCCTTTTTCTTTTTCCTTTTTTGTTAGTCTTGTACGTTTTACAGTAGTTAGCAGATTTCCTAAAATTACTGCTGAGTAAACACGAGAAACGTTAGATTTTACATTTGATATTTATGTGAATAATAAGGTAAAGAGTGTACATTTAAGTCTGGTGTAGTGAAAACCGGAAACTGTCTATATGCCACAGTTGTAGTTGAAGCAGTCACGTTACCAGTCAAACAGGTTTTGTTATTGCTGTCTGTTACAGCCCTATGTACAAAACATTTAACATTAGTCTTAAAGGAAGAACAGGGGCTCGACACAGTTGTTTATTAATTCTCTCAAGTTAACTCACTCTCTGTGACTGCGCCTTCATATTTACACCTTCCCTATATTTGGGTTTAAAATGACTATGAAACTTGCGCAACGTTGCCTATTTTCGGAATGATACTGAGAGCAACTCCTTGAGTCATCACATAGGTAGGACACATGCAGCAGCTGAGCAGTATATGTCGTACTTGTCATGACTCACAGGGAGACAAAACATGACACTGGCAGAAACCAATTTTTAATGTTTATGCTGCTCCACTGGGTGTGGTCTTTTACAGTGAGCTAGGTGTTTTTCTTTTTCTTTTTCTTTTTCCCCCCATGAAGCAGACATTGGATTGGACTGTATCTGTTGAACTTACTCAACCTTGTACGTAACTCCGTGGTAATACTACAAAGCCACTAAAAAGTATTTGTTTGGATAAAACGATTAATAATAATACATATACTTTATAATAGACTTATCCACTAAAGCAATCGTTAAACACGATTTAATTCACCACTTTCATATTAAACCGGACGGATTAACGTTATCAAAGGGGACACTCCTTTCACAAAGTGTGTGTGTGTGGCTTCGTTTCAAGCCAGTGAAACAGAAGAAACGTTAACGCAATCCAAATAAACCAATCGTCCAAGTATGACACCCAGTGGTTAATGTGTATTTGCACCAGTATGTGAGCAGATTATTTCTCGGAATAATTGCACCTGATAACGACATTGCGTACATTTAAAGATAAAGTACATTAGATTAAAACACAAACAAAGAAAAAAGAAATATTAAAGTTAAATATTTTTATTATGTACCTTTGTTTAAAAATATCTGTATATTTTAATTAATTAAAAATAGTTTAAAAAATACAATTATACCTTTGTCCATAGGGTTTAAAAACTAAATAAATGTTCCAAAATTATATTTTAAAAGGGTAGTCTTAAATTTGTGACCCCTTGGGGTGAGGGTAGGTACTGCAGTTATACTTTAAAAAATTGGTTGATTAAACAATTTTAAATTTTTTAGTTTATTATTGACTTCCCATAGAGAAATCCTGGTCCATCATCACTGATGTGCTTTGTTAACCAATGGCGTAGTGGTGCTGTTTGAAATATAAAGGAAGATAAATATGATCCTATCACCACAAATCTAAACTTGACAGCCACCATATTTCACATTGTCATCTGTGAAATTATATTATTTATGGTGCGATGATTTCATTTTTCCTCAGGCATGATCCATCAGTTCCTAATCTAACTTAAACACTCCTGGTTGTGTTCTAATTGGTTCATCATCATTTGTATTAATCTGATGCTCTGATGCTAATCTCCACGAATGCAAGGCGCATTTTATATTTCCAAGGTTGTAATTTTCACACATTTCTATACATAAATCATGCAAGAGCCAGTAATGGAACATGTGATTTGTATTCTAGTATCGTGAGAGCCACATTTGACCTAATGCTTTAATCCCCATTTGCTGCATTGAGAAAATATGGAGCTCCATTTAGTCTGTGCGTTGAATAACAAGTCACTTCATCACGAGAATTTGAGAGATGTAAGCGCTGTCGGACCCTGACAGGGTTCACAGCATAAAGCACAGCTCATTATGAAAGTCAATGACAGCTCACAGAAAAGCAATAGCTGTTTAACTTCTTGTTCTTAGGGTCAATCTGATCTTAGTTTGAACTTCTGTGGAATATCGCTATCATCTATTCCATGATTAGCATTGAGACAATGTAATGCCTAATTGGTTACTGGGATGAAAAACTGAAGTAATTTACCATCTATATCTATGTGATAAGCTTTGATTGGCTGACAGGTTGCCTATATAAGGAGAAGAAGAGTGTGAACTAGTTGTCGTTGTGACACAGCACACCACTGCACACTCAGAATTCAGAATAATTTGGCAGGTTGGCTTCAAACCTGAAACCTTCCGAGCCCAAGTCTGCTTCTTTAACCACTAATGCCCTGTATAATAAATATATAAATATACTTGTACTTTTCCGCATGAAAACAAAGGGAAAACCATGGACTTACTGTTATTTATAATTCATCGTGTGATGATAATACTGGTCCGGCCCACGTTACACCTAATTAGGTTGTAAGCAGCCCGTTAACCAAAATGAATTGCACATTTATTTGTTAGATAAAGGCATGAACTCCCACCAAATCAGACGCAGGACTTCAGAACAGGTTTGCACGGAGTACATGTCAATAATTTATATAAAGGTACTTCAAAAAGAAAACCTCTTGACTTTGAAGTCCTAACGTTTGTAATTCATATCTTCCCAACTTCCACATTTCCTGTTCCTGCAGCTTACAGCCTGTTTAAGATGATGAACAAATCAGCAAATGGCCGTCCGCGCGCAGACCGAGTCATTTTAATATTCGAAAAGGAGACAAATCACAGGACACGGCTTATAATCATACAAATATATGTGATTTAATAGAATAATATTTCAGAATAAGACTCCTCCTTTCAAGTCACGTAGGAGATACTGAATAGAAATATACACAGTTCCGATCGCAAAGAAGGTCGCCGGGTGAATCATGGGCTCGATGCTGAGTGTGTCTTATCACTAATAAAACCAATAACGACGTGCATGGTTTAAAAAGAAGTTCCACATCAGTCAAAGAAAAACAGTCATTGCAGGCAATGATCGCCCGTGTGGTTTGCAAACCGTGATAATGGTTGGACTGCCCTGTTGAATTTCAAGTGAGTTCAAATTTTTATATATTGCTGGTCTTCTTTCCCACTGCGCTGCTTCAACAAGTGCTAAAAAAAAAAAAATTTGGCAATTTTGACCTGCTTTCTGTGGTTCACTACTGCCATGGCTTCTATGTTGTTATGGCTTTTAATTTTTTTCTTTTTTTTTTTATTAACCGATTTTTTTTTGGAAGACATTTGGCGAACAAAAGCTCATGACAGCAGGAGAGTGAAAATGTTCTGGAAGACTTCAGACCACTGAGGTGGTTGGTGTGTTTGAGTGGACAGGACACGTTTGCTTCAGATGCTGTTTCCCAGTTTCCCCCTTGAATGATTTACATTTTTTTTTTTATCCAAACATGCAGAGAAAACACAGCAAATGGGGGAGGAGGAGGAGGGACCGGGGGGGGGGGCGACAACAGCTGCTCTGTTTGTCTCCTACAGTAGGGGAAAAAAAAATCTAAGCA